TTGCTTTGCAGCGAATGTTCACGAATGTTCTCGAATGTTCACGAGAGTTCAAGAAAAGGCGTGGGAATGTTCAGCTAATGAAATCTATGTGCTCGTGAAACTTCTACTTTCCTGTCCAAGAGTTTGTGCTGTTGTGTTGGCGTTTGTTAATACACGACTTCGCGGCGTAGGAATTTCCTCCTTTCACCCGTATGAGACGCTTCAGGATAGGCTGTATTTGTATCCATTGTATGAATTCGATGTTCATTATAAATTCAGCAATACAAGTATCCAGTTGCCGCAGGTCTCTTCACAGGGCTTGCTCGGTGTGGCCTAGACAACTGCACTGATGTTACGCATCCAAAATGCCTCGGGAATCATCCAACTATTTTATTTCTGCTGGTTGATACAAATGGCGGGCGGGTACCACCGGTACATACAAACTCGAGCAGCCGCACGAAGACAGTCGGATTTCAGTAAAGAGAAATCAGGGTATCTGAAGAATCGGATTAATCATCCAATTCGAAAATGCAGTAAAAGCTACAAAGTCAAAGCTACAACCAGGATGTCGTTGTGTGCAGCCGTCTTCTGTGAGTCTGTCTGGGGGTAAACGTCACATGATTTCACTTCCCTAAAATGGTAAAATGTAACAAGGGAAGCGTTTTCCTATCTGGTCATTTCATGCAATTGTGCACTGATATGAGCAAAAATTGAATCCGACAGCAGATGAAATTTACCCATGTACGTAAGACCGGATTCGCGCCCTTTGGCCATGATCGAGCTCAGCCTAACGTACCATCCAATAATAAATCGGTTTGTACAGCACATATGGGTTGTGCGTTACAGTTCGCTTATTTGTCTGGACTCTGTAGATAAAAAATAACTCAGAAGAGCACCCAGGGATAGAACAAGTGGCGACCGATGTGGTCTGTTTGCAGCTTCTGGGGACAGAGAGTATAATTGGACCAGCAAAAACGCGCAAAAAAACTTATTTGAAGCGCGGAATCACAGGCTAAATTAAACTGTGTCTGAAAACAAGTCCTTATCCAATACTAGGTGGATGTCAGCCGAAAGAGTTCCAATACTGATGTTCAATTTTGAATTTCCTTACGGGTGTATTGCCCTCGAAATTCCATACATTGTTTTGCCGTACAGTAATATCAGATTGTACGTGGGTGGAGTTCTGCGCTCATTTTCGAATGATGTGCGCTAAAACATGAACTTGTGGAGAATATCGCCAGCATCATTTGTACATACCCCTCTTTCCCATCTGAATATGGCCCACGGAATGCCCATTGGCCAGCTAGAACGACTTTTCTTGAACGAAGCGCCAGATAATCCTGTATAAATTTGTTCAACCTTCACTTTGCCCGGCACGTCGGCCTCGTCAATGTGCGTAAACAAATCGTTGGAAGCTTTGACTCCGAAGAACACCGTATAAACACCGTAAAAATCCAATGTGAGTAAGTTCTCATATTTTCGGGAAACTGATTAAGCAACGGTATGTTCAAGGTATACACGAACTAAACGCGGTCAAGCTCATTATCACGCAGCAGCGCAAGATTTCACAATTTGCCACTGGGAATAGCCGTGGTGTGCATCGCTCGCATCTACTATCATAACCGCGAATCCGTGCGGTGTTTGTGGTCAAATAGACCCTACCCTCAAACAAAGCATAAAATGATTAGAGCCAGGACACAAGTGCAACCACGCCTACTGAGGCAAATAAGGGAAATCGAAACTGTTCAGATTTAGCACCAGTTTGGTGCCTAGCTGTGATACCACCCGAAATACTTTTTTTCGCAAGATTGACTCCAGGACAATGAAAAGGTGGTTGGGATTTTCTTCCCTCCCTTTCCGAAATTTGAGCGACCAGTTTTTCAAGCTGATATTCATCGTAATGGCCTGTTAAATGCTGCAGGTGCATCCGAACCCCAAAAGAGCTGGTTTTAAGGGCCTTGGTCCCTATGCTGGTTGGCCCTTTTCTGATCTGTGTTGCGTTGTGTTCTGTCACTTGATTTAGATTGAAAGTCGTAGTTTAGTTTCGTGACGGAAATTAACGGAGTTATCAGTCTAAAAACCGACCGCCGTGTAGTGTTTTCTTTCGAATAAATTAATTATTGATTTAGAAGAATACATTCTTTTGCATGAGGTTTACAAATCAACCTCAAACTTGGTAAACCGGGGATGGAATCATGATGAGATTCGTCCTAAATAACCAGCGATTTCTGAGAAAGTATGTTGCTCTGCGTCTACCCTCAAAATGCATCAAATGAGCTGTGAAAATTAAAACCAATTTAATGGTGTTACATCTCAGAAACCGGGTGGTAAAACCCTCTTCGGTTCCGGTTTTTGTGGCTTGTTCTTCCAAATTCTCAAGTGTTTGTAATGTAACTCTGACAATTACCTCAGAGGTTTCAAGTCTTTTCAGACGGCGTCGTTGAGGTTTCGGTGAATCCATCTTTAAAAGACTTTCATTGTGATTGGAGGTTCAAATGTTCAAAATGTGAACTGAAATCCGTCGCAATTTCTGGGACCAAGGCGGACAAGTCAATCAACTCGTTCATGGTGGTGAAATGGGCATTTGCCCCACACTATTACCATGGATTGGCTTGCAATATCCGGGAAGAAGGAACTAAGCGATGCTATTGATATTTGTATAAAACTGTTGCTCATCAGAAACAGAACACTCGGTGGT